AAGGTAAAACACAGAGACATGTTCTGCTAATTCCGTGTAGTTCTTCTGCAATTATTTAGAAGCCGAGATGGGTTTCTTTGCTTGAAATGTTCAGTCAAGCTTAGCTTGTCCACATTCAGTGCTAGCAGGTGAAACGCAGAGACAGAAACATGTTCTGCTAATTCTGTGTAGTTCTTCTGATATTTTTTAGAAGCTAAGATGGGTTTCAGTGCTTGATATGTTCAGACAAGCTGAGTTGTCTACATCCAGCGCTAGCAGGTGAAACACAGAGACATGTTCTTCTAATTCTGTGTAGTTCTTCTGCAATTATTTCAAGCAGGTAAGTCTGACTTTAGTCAACAATGAACCAGTTTTAAACAAGCATTTCCACAGTGTAATAAAGGTTTCTGTTATGTCCATGTCCTTGTTATTGGATGTTCTCAAAAGTGATGCGTTCCCTTCGATAGCTCAGTTGGTAGAGCGGAGGACTGTAGATTCATAATGTCAGAAATCCTTAGGTCGCTGGTTCAACTCCGGCTCGAAGGAGGTGCTTTATGTTGTGTCCGACTGACAAAACAAGAAGCCGAGATGGGTTTCATTGCTTGATATGTTCAGACAAGCTTAGCTTGTCCACATCCAGCGCTAGAAGGTAAAACACACAGACAAAGATATGTTATGCCAATTCTGTGTAGTTCTTCTGCAATTATTTAGAAGCCGAGATGGGTTTCTTTGCTTGAAATGTTCAGACAAGCTTAGCTTGTCCACATCCAGTGCTAGCAGGTGAAACGCAGAGAAAGAAACATGTTCTGCTAATTCTGTGTAGTTCTTCTGATATTTTTTAGAAGCTAAGATGGGTTTCTTTGCTTGATATGTTCAGACAAGCTGAGCTTGTCCACATCCAGCGCTAGAAGGTAAAACACAGAGACATGTTCTGCTAATTCCGTGTAGTTCTTCTGCAATTATTTAGAAGCTGAGATGGGTTTCTTTGCTTGATATGTTCAGACAAGCTGAGCTTGTCCACATCCAGCGCTAGAAGGTAAAACACAGAGACATGTTCTGCTAATTCCGTGTAGTTCGTCTGCAATTATTTAGAAGCCGAGATGGGTTTCTTTGCTTGAAATGTTCAGACAAGCTTAGCTTGTCCACATCCAGTGCTAGCAGGTGAAACGCAGAGACAGAAACATGTTCTGCTAATTCTGTGTAGTTCTTCTGATATTTTTTAGAAGCTAAGATGGGTTTCTTTGCTTGATATGTTCAGACAAGCTGAGCTTGTCCACATCCAGCGCTAGAAGGTAAAACACAGAGACATGTTCTGCTAATTCCGTGTAGTTCGTCTGCAATTATTTAGAAGCCGAGATGGGTTTCTTTGCTTGAAATGTTCAGACAAGCTTAGCTTGTCCACATCCAGTGCTAGCAGGTGAAACACAGAGACAGAAACATGTTCTGCTAATTCTGTGTAGTTCTTCTGATATTTTTTAGAAGCTAAGATGGGTTTCATTGCTTGATATGTTCAGACAAGCTGAGTTTGTCCACATCCAGCGCTAGCAGTGAAACACAGAGACATGTTCTTCTAATTCTGTGTAGTTCTTCTGCAATTATTTCAAGCAGGTAAGTCTGACTTTAGTCAACAATGAACCAGTTTTAAACAAGCATTTCCACAGTGTGATAAAGGTTTCTGTTATGTCCATGTCCTTGTTATTGGGTGTTCTCAAAGTGAGGACTGTAGATTCATAATGTCAGAAATCCTTAGGTCGCTGGTTCAACTCCGGCTCGAAGGAGGTGCTTTATGTTTGTGTCCGACTGACAAAACAAGAAGCCGAGATGGGTTTCATTGCTTGATATGTTCAGACAAGCTGAGCTTGTCCACATCCAGCGCTAGAATGTAAAACACAGAGACATGTTCTGCTAATTCGTGTAGTTCTTCTGCAATTATTTAGAAGCTGAGATGGGTTTCTTTGCTTGAAATGTTCAGACAAGCTTAGCTTGTCCACATCCAGCGCTAGAAGGTAAAACACACAGACAAAGATATGTTATGCCTTCTGTTGTAGTTCTTCTGCAATTTTTAGAAGCCGAGTGGGTTTCTTTGCTTGATATGTTCAGACAAGCTAGCTTGTCCACATCCAGCGCTAGAAGGTAAAACACAGAGACATGTTCTGCTAATTCCATGTAGTTCGTCTGCAATTATTAGAAGCCGAGATGGGTTTCTTTGCTTGATATGTTCAGACAAGCTCAGCTTGTCCACATCCAGCGCTAGAAGGAAAACACAGAGACATGTTTGCTAATTCCGTGTTAGTTCGTCTGCAATATTTAGAAGCGAGATGGGTTTCATTGCTGATATGTTCAGACAAGCTGAGCTTGTCCACATCCAGTGCTAGCAGGTGAAAACACAGAGAAAGGAAACATGTTCTGCTAATTCTGTGTAGTTCTTTTGATATTTTTTAGAAGCTAAGAGGGTTTCTTTGCTTGATATGTTCAGACAAGCTGAGCTTGTCCACATCCAGCGCTAGAAGGTAAAACACAGAGACATGTTCTGCTAATTCCGTGTAGTTCGTCTGCAATTATTTAGAAAGCCGAGATGGGTTTCTTTGCTTGAATGTTCAGACAAGCTTAGCTTGTCCACATCCAGTGCTAGCAGGTGAAACGCACAGAAACATGTTCTGGCTAATCTGTGTAGTTCTATGATATTTTTAGAAGCTAAGATGGGTTTCATTGCTTGATATGTCAGACAAGCTGAGTTTGTCCACATCCAGCGCTAGCAGGTGAAACACAGAGAATGTTTTCTAATTCTGTGGAGTTCTTCTGCAATTATTCAAGCAGGGTAAGTCTGACTTTAGTCAACAATGAACCAGTTTTAAACAAGCATTTCCACAGTGTGATAAAGGTTTCTGTTATGTCCATGTCCTGTTATTGGGGTTCTCAAAAGTGAGGACTGTAGATCATAATGTCAGAAATCCTTAGGTCGCTGGTTCAAACTCCGGCTCGAAGGAGGTGCTTTATGTTTGTGTCCGACTGACAAAACAAGAAGCCGAGATGGGTTTCATTGCTTGATATGTTCAGACAAGCTGAGCTTGTCCACATCCAGCGCTAGAATGTAAAACAGAGACATGTTCTGCTAATTCCGTGTAGTCTTCTGCAATTATTTAGAAGCTGAGATGGGTTCTTTGCTTGAAATGTTCAGACAAGCTTAGCTTGTCCACATCCAGCGCTAGAAGGTAAAAACACACAGATAAAGATATGTTATGCCAATTCTGTGTAGTCTTCTGCAATTATTTAGAAGCCGAGATGGGTTCTTTGCTTGATATGTTCAGACAAGTAGCTTGTCCACATCCAGCGCTAGAAGGTAAAAACAGAGACATGTTTGCTAATTCCGTGTAGTTCTTCTGCAATTATTTAGAAGCCGAGATGGGTTCTTTGCTTGAAATGTTCAGTCAAGCTTAGCTTGTCCACATTCAGTGCTAGCAGGTGAAACGCAGAGACAGAAACATGTTCTGCTAATTCTGTGTAGTTCTTCTGATATTTTTAGAAGCTAAGAGGGGTTCAGTGCTTGATATGTTCAGACAAGCTGAGTTTGTCTACATCCAGCGCTAGCAGGTGAAACACAGAGACATGTTCTTTAATTCTGTGTGTAGTTCTGCAATTATTTCAAGCAGGTAAGTCTGACTTTAGTCAACAATGAACCAGTTTAAAACAAGCATTTCCACAGTGTAATAAAGGTTTCTGTTATGTCCATGTCCTTGTTATTGGATGTTCTCAAAAGTGATGCGTTCCTTCGAGAGCTCAGTGGTAGAGCGGAGGAATGTAGATCATAATGTCAGAATCCTTAGGTCGCTGGTTCAACTCCGGCTCGAAGGAGGTGCTTTATGTTTGTGTCCGACTGACAAAACAAGAAGCCGAGATGGGTTTCATTGCTTGATATGTTCAGACAAGCTTAGCTTGTCCACATCCAGCGCTAGAAGGTAAAACACACAGACAAAGATATGTTATGCCAATTCTGTGTAGTTCTTCTGCAATTATTTAG